GGAGTTGAACGGCAGCTGCAAGGAAGTCTTCCCTCTCTGGGGGCATCCCATAGTTTGCCCTTAAAGATGGTGCTCTCTGTGGAAGCGTTACCTTGTATGAGGTCGAGGACATTTCCTTTTATTCCTGCTGCTTGGTGAGCTTTTAAAATACAAAAGCACTTGAAACTTGGCTTATCATTTTGCAGTAAGTTCATCGTTATGTGTGCTACTGGGTCATTCACCTACATGCGTACTTAGTCTATAGTTCTAGCAGTGTTCTCAGGTGATTTTAATATCAAGATAATATTATTGGCCTCGTAGAATGAGCTGAAAATTATTCCATCTACTTTGTGGAAGTGTTTATGGAGACTGGACTTTTTGTTTGCTTGTTTTTGTTTTTCGAGACAGGGTTATTCTGTGTAGCCTTGGCTCGCCTAGATTTGCTCTGTATACCAGGCTGGCCTGGAACTCACAGAGATCCTTCTGCCTCTGCCTCCCCGAGTGCAGGATTACAGGTGTGTGCCACCACACCTGGTTGAAGACTGGCTCTTAATTCAGGTTTAAATATTTCATTGAAGATCACTGGCAGGCTTTTCTTTGCAAGTAGCTTTTGAGTAAGAATTCTCTTCACATTATAGATTGCGCTGATGAATTTTTGCCAGCTTCACACGATCTAGAGTCACCTAAGAAAAGGGAGCCTCATTTAAGAATTGCCTCCATCAGGTTTGGCCTGTAGACAAGCCTGTTGGGGCATTTCTTAATGAATGATTGAAAGGGAGGGTCCACGCCTCGGTGGGCAGTGTCTTCCTCAGGCAGGTGGTCCTGGTTCTGTAAGAAAGCAGCCGAACAAGCCATGGGAGCATGCCGGTGAGCAGCACCCTCTCCCGTTCCCGCCTCTGGTCCTGCCTGAGTTCCTGTTGTGACTTCTACCATGATGGACTGTGACTGGCATGTGTACGCCCAAGAAACGCTGTCATCCTCAAGATGCTTTTGATCAGCATTTTATCACAGTAACGGAGAAGAAATTAGGCCATAGGGCTAGTCAGATTCTGAACCACTTTCACTAGGGTGGTATGAGTGTGCGTGCGTGCGTGTGTGCGTGTCTGTGCCACAGCGAGTGGTGGAGAGAGGACACAGCTGTTTCAGGAGTCGGTTTTCTCCTCGCCACCCTCTGGGCTCTGGGATCAAACTTACACGGTCAGAGAAGTACTGTTCCGTGCTGAGCCAGCTCACCGGCCATCTCTTGCTTCTATATCTCATCTATGCCTTTTGTTTTTGTTGTCCAGGTATAGGTACTATTACTGACGTGTTTTGTAGTGTGGATATCTATTAGCAGACTATCCGTAAACAAATGTGACTATTTAACAGCGTGGTGTTATCTCTGATGTGATATGTAGACACGGTGCCTGGGTTCATGCCATTTTACCTTTACCTTTGCATGTCACACAGCCTTTCTCTTGCAGGGTATTCTCTAACAAAGCACTCAGATTTCTTTTTTCTTTTTTTAATGATTAAAACTGTCCAATCCTTGTGACTTACTGCCAGTTGTGAAATGGTATATTGCATACTATCTCAAATATTTGACTATGTACATATGTGTATGAAGACTAGATGTAAACAAATCTTTTTAAATTAGAAATATAGAAATATATTCACATAAAAGTATATGTACATATAATATTTTCAAAACTCAAAGCTTTTACATTATTTTTTAAATTCTTATTTATTTAATCACCTCTCACCCGATCCCATCCCATCTCTCCTCTCCTCCCAGTACCATCCTCCCACGCCCCCTTTCCTCCCATTTCCCCCTTTCCTTCTTCTCAGAGGGAGATGGTCAGGTGTGGAGAGAGTGAGGTGAGCAGTTGGGGGAACACCAGGAAGAGGACCTGGAGAGAACAGAAATCAGTGGGAAGCATCTCTGGGACAGGGGAGGGCCCTGGGAGTCTATGGGGTGTCTCTAGCCAAGACCCCTCATAGCAGAGGACATGGAGCCTGAACTCACCGCCTCCCATGAGCAGTTCAGAGGAGTGTGATCTGTGTCAAATGGTAGCAGCCACTCTGTCCAACTCAAAATGAAAGGTCAGAGCCCATCTCCACAAGGCCCGGGGCTGGCAACAGTAGCGAGCTTTGGCCAATAGGAATCTGTGTTCCACTGTGGGCATTAGGTCCCTGCCACTGAAAAGCAAGATGCAGTTTAAGTTCTGGGCTGGAGAGCCAAAATCACAGAGTAAAGCTTTTTCTAATATTTTGTTCTTGGCTTAGAACACTGTGCACACATTTGGAAGACAGATTGTCAGGGTCCCCTGTGACTGCACAGTGGGGTGCTTTTGGTTCATTATTTCTGTGGCAAAACATCTTATTTGTAGGTCTTCTATTTATATGCATATTTGCTAGAGAGTGTGAAAATCAGCAGAGAAGGGAAAGAAATGCTTGGCACAGACATACTCTGCTTTTCTCAGGTTTGTAGTATAAATTGCCAAGGAAGGGAGATGAAGATATTCTCTCCAGAATATCTGAATGTGTCAGCTGTGCTGTGTGGCGACAGCAGGTAGCACAGCGTGTAGGAGATTGGAAACATGTTGATCAACACAGAGCGCATCTGCAGCCTCCACTTTAGTGGCCATTGCTGGGCCCCCCCACTTCTTATGCTTAAAAGAATTTCTACTTTATAAATGCTACATAATGAAGTAGGTTCATGGGCAGAGCTTTTGGAAAATTACCACCATCAGGAGAACCTCATGGAGAGAACGGAAAGTCAGGAGATGACCTCAGCTTTCGGAGCTAACATCCAGTTCCCACTATGGGAAGACCGTTCAGTTCTTTCTCCAACAAGGCAAGAGCTGCTGCTCCTTGTAAGAGCTGACCTCCTTACTTAAGTCCTAGAGGCCCAGCTAGAGACATCTTATATTTGAAAAATATCCAGATGTGCGGACTCACATCTGTTGCCCTAGTACTTGGGGGGCTGAAACAGGAGGATTGCCAAAATTCCAGGCCAGCCTAGAATACAGAGTAAGGTCCCATCTCAAAAAAACCAACACTAACTCCTTCCCGTAAACAAACATATATAAATCCCCCAAAGCAGCTGCAGGAATTGCCTGGAACATGTGGGTAGGAACCAAGGCCTGTAACCAAAGAAGCTAGAAAGTAAGATCGAACCGGCATGGCGCCTCGGGTTCAGACACACGGCTCTGAGGAGGCTTTCAGAAACCCACAGAGGGGGCCGTGGGTGGAAACATCTGCAGGATCAAGGCAGATAGTGGCAGAGGGGCTCAAAGCTCAGGCGGATGAGGTGGAGGAGTAGACTCAGCAGAAAGGGTCTGAAGGTCTCATTCTTCCTTCACCAGACTTCAAGGTGTGTGTGACACAGAACCACAGGTGCAGCTACGGGTACCGGGTGGCCTCCCCTCCATCAGCCGGGGCTGATGGTAGATATCCTCAGAGTTGTGCTCACTGCAAACAGTGAGAGAACTGGCTTCGGAAGCAAAAAAGGCTGACTACTGACTCCTAGCTGCCAGAGCCCAAGGAGAACACCCACCATATTGTCAGCTTGTAGAGACTGCCAAGGGGACTTACAAAAGGGAGCTGTGGAAGTCAGGTGGTGTGACCTTTCTAGGAGCAGAGAGAGACACACACACACACACACAAAGAAATAGATAGACACATACATACACACACACACACACACACACACAGATACACACACAGAGAGCACAGCAAGGTGCTCTGACTGATGGAAGGAAGTGTGGGAGAAGAAGGCCATGTAGTCACCTCAGTTCCTAAGCCAAAGGGAAACGAGGCCAAAATTCAGACTCCAAACCTACTGATTAAAACTGTGAATAGATCCCAGAAAACAGGCCCAGTATTTCCTCCCTTTCAAACCAGTCAATCGTTGTCTTGCACTTTTTATTTCTTTAACAAATATATATTCTTAGAGGGGTTGGAGAGACGGCTCACTGGTCAAGAGCCCTTGTTGTTCTTGCAGAGGACACAGGTTCGATTCCTAGGACACACTTGGTGGTTCACCAACATTCAGAACTCTAGTTCCAAGAGGTTGGTTCCCCTGTTGTGACCTCTGTGGGCACGAGCGTGGTGCACATACACACACGCAGGCGCGACGCTCACGCACAGAAAGCAGCAAGCCTGGATTTCTCCTGTGTGCACCACTACTCAGCATCCGGATGCCCTAAGGCACCCAGGCTTGTCCGGTCGGCCGACACCACCAGCTTCTGAGTGTTCTTCTCGTGGAACCTCCAGAGGAGCCTGGCCGTTCCTGCTGGGTGTCTGTCAGCAGCTGCCCCCGCCCTCCCTCCACCATCCCGGTTAGGCTCCCAGGCGGGCCTCCCGCACACGGGTCCTGTTTTCAAAGTTTGTCTTTCCTGCTGGATTCCCTTGCTGTGTTGGAAAGAGATAGCTGCTGAGAAGGATGCAAAGGGAGGTGGGTTTCTTTTCTTTCTTTCTTTTAGAACATATATATTCACACATGTCTTTATTATGTTCTGTTGTATTTCATTTTAATTATTACTTAAATACTTTTCATGTGTGATAGATGTATGTGCGCCTCTTACCTGAAGCTCGCCATTTTGGCGCGGCTGGCTGGTCATGTTCCTATGTAACACCTGTCTCTGCTCCCAGCACTGGGTTTATAGCCCTTAAAATGAACCTTTGTGGAGTAGTGCCTAAGCTTGGGCTGTACAAGAATCATTGAGATGATTATGCTTTTAAAGCAACACAGATTTCTTTCCAATTACATATTTTTAAAAAAGCTCATGCTGCCTTTCCGTCATCAACACCTGGATTGCCTTTAAAAACACAGATCACCAAGTCTCCCAGGAGGTTCTAATTCATTTTCTGAGACAGGATTTGGAAAATATTGTACAGAGACCATTTTAAGGGCCATGCTGAGAAATACCTAAATGCATAAAAGAACATTTAGATACATGATAACAATTTGGCTATTATTCTATTTCGATTGCATCATTTAATCACTATTTTGAATTTGACCTTGCTTTTTATTTCAGGAGCGAAGAAAACACACAGCCCTGAGACAGTCACTTCTGCAGAAGGCCAACATGCTTAGCACCCTGAAGGGGATGCTTCGCTTTGCATCTGGTTTGGATGGTGACAGAGCTGGTTCTCTCAGAAAAGGTGAAGAGATTCTAAGTGCAGATGCAAACTGAGAGCTCACAGCATCGGGAGCAGGCACCTGACACTGCCAAAGCCCCTCCTCACCTGCTGGCCTGATTAGTTTCCTTGGACAGATTTTTTTTTTTTAATCTTTTGAAAGGTTAGCTGCGTTTTCCAGGGCTATGAGGGTCAGGCACATGGGACATCAATCTTTTTCTGTGTCACATGGCTGTGGTGGGACATGGAACTCCCTCAAACTGCTCAAACAAGAACATCTAGCAATGTCTTCAAAGTTCCTCTCCCACACGTTCCTCTCATCTCACACTGCTTCCTCCGTCCATGCCTTATGCTCTTAATCTTGGATTACCACAGCATAAACACTTCACAAGATTGGGGGGCGGGCTCCCACGCTCAGCCCAGCCTTTACAACCTTGAAACACGCCTTCAGTTTCCCCAGTGCAGGTCCTCATTCTAGCTGGTCTTAGAACCAAGACAGAGGCAGGGGTCTCCACATAGACACTGGCTGCCCTTCACTTTAGCTTGTGACCCTCAGGAGACAAGGAATGAATTACATGTGGGGAGTCCAGCAAAAGGATAAATGAGGGATGAGTGTGTGGCTGAAAACACGCACTCACACCCCACCACCAGGTCAAAGGAGAAGACAGGACGGTTGCTTCCTAAACCTGCCATCCACCTACTGCCTTCTCGACTCTCAGTCTGTCTCGGACAGTCTGAGGAGACGTTATCATCGTCTGTTCACTGTGACAAAACCTCCAGTTATTATACACACCATCCCCAAAGACATGACTTCTAACGGTGCTCCTGGGGTCCAGGGCTTACCAGGAGTCCAGAGCTGCTGTGCACACCAGCCACCGCTAGTTTGCTTTCTCCCCTGTGACACACAGACCTTGACCCCTTTTCATCTGGCATCCATTCAGATATTTGAAAAACAATTATCACAGAGTCGCTGAGTCATTTCCTCGTCAGACTAAACATCAGCGTATTAACCTTTTTCTCAGAGTATAATTGGAAACATCTCGCTGCTGAATTCACTCTCGGTGTCTCCTTCCAGGGCAGAGGCAGGCAGAATCACTGCTTGCTTTGTGACAGGGAACAGGTACGGACACTTGCAGCCTCGAACCTCCCCAGCTGCCAGTGTAGTGTAGGCACGACACATAGGCAGGACTTAGTAAAAGGCCTGGGCCATCCCGCTTGCTCTGCTTCTCTCCCATTTTCACACTAAGTGGAGGGCTTAGGTCACTAACCAGAGATCACTGTGTGTCTGGAGCTGTAGTGGGGAGAGGCGTGTGCTGTCGGGAGGCCTTTGCACAGCGGAGAAGCAGGAGATGGCATGGATCAGTCTCAGAACTGAGTTGGAAGAAAAGGTGCACACAGGGTGCAAAACTCAAGGAGGCGCTTCCTCCTGCTTGTGCAAGAGGCCACCGGCCTCAGGGTAATTTCCTGTATGAGCTGAAAACTGATGAACTGGGTTAGTTCAGGTGCTGGTGTTTTCACACACACACACACACACACACACACACACACACACACACACGTATATTATATACTTATTATAAGATACACTGGGAAAATGTCATTATACAGAATATTGACAAGCTGAGGGAATTAAGACAATCAGGAAAACTGGTCTTTTCCCTTCCCTCCCTTCCTCCCTTTCTCCCTTCCTCTGTTCATCTCTCCCTTCCTTTCTTTATTCTTTTCTCTTTCTGTTTGAGACGGGGTCTCATTTTATGGCCCTGACTGGCATGGAACTTCCTGTGTAGACCAGGCTGGTCTTGAATTCGGAGAGAGCTGCCTGGCTGTGACTCCTGTGTGGATGAAACGTGCGAGCTGTTGGCCTGCGGGACTTGGGGCTTCTGAGCATGCGCTGTGGCAGTGCTGGAGGAACAAACAGCAGTTCTGCTCCTGTGTCGGGAGTTCATGGCTCGAGCCTCCTCTCCGTGGGTCTCTGTGGATGTCATTATTCAGTTTTCTTCAAAACCGCCACCAGGACCCAGATCCTGCCTGACGCATGTTAATGCTCTGAGAACATTAAGTGACTTAACATAGAAGATCTGGAGAAAGAAAGAACTTGAGCTGAGCTCATGTAACCAAGTGTCAGCTATGAAAAGAGGCTAAATTAAAAAGCAGTAGCCTCTGAGACAGGACGGTGAAAACGCTTTCTAGAAAAAGCACAGGAAGCAAGCAGGTGTACCCTGGCCCTCATGCTGGTGGCCCCGCACAGCTCAACCCGAGTCTACGTGAGGAAATTCGAGTGAGATGAACAGGGAGGATGGTGGGACAGGTACTAATTCAGGGCCATGCAACTAGGAAGAGACACTTGGAAGTGTGTAAAACCTGCCAGTGTCTGAAGGTTTCTTGCCTTTAATGAGGAGGTGGTACAGCCACTGCAGAATATAACCATATACGTTTATTTCTCAGTGCACTGACGTTAGTTTTAAAAACCCAGAGACTGCAGAAAGAGCACAGAGGTGGGAATGTGTCCCATGTTTCCGGCTTCCCGAAGAAACAACTGCTAAAGTGTCGTGGATGCCCACCTAACACTCTTGCCTTTAAACCCTTGTCATTGCACACCTCTTAGAGTTCTTCAGAGAAACAGGGCCAGCGGAGCGTGTGTGTGCGTGAGTGTGTATGTTTGAGTGCGTGTGTGTGGAGTGTGTGTGTGTGTGTGTGTGTGTGTGTGGCACAGCGTTTCCATCAGGGACAGACTGTACATATGATGGTGTCCCCAGAAGAAAATAGAGTTGAAAGTTCCTGCCAGGGACGCCATTGTAATGTCACAGCAGAATGGCTGTGCTGGTGCTGGTGCCTGCAGACCTGGTGCTGGCAGCCGTGAGAAATGTGGCAGTGCAGCCGTGCACACAATGGCTACTGCCCTGCGTTACTGCCCCAGACATCACATGTGCCCTGCTCTGTGTGCGCAAGAGGAAGCAGCTCACCGCGGGGCCCTCTAGGAGGGCCCTGCATCGGTTCTTGGCTGTTTTCTCCCTGAGCATTTTCTCACACTGCCTTCTGACATAAATTTGTTCACTTCTAGGCTCGATGCCTGTCCTCTTGCTCTCTCTTTGTCACTCTCCTGGGTTAACATTACTGACCCTTGACCCTGAGCTTCTAGTTCATTATTTTCTCTTTTGAAAGTCGGGCTATCTTGTCAAGTTAGGTTTGTTTGTTTGTTTTTTTTTAACTGAACATTATAAGAAAAATAAAATTTTAAAATTCAAATAATCTTGAAATGACTCTCCCCCATTTCTAATTGAATCTTGTTTAACATAGAGGTTTGCCATGCCACTTGCCATACACCGATTTTGTGCTGACAATTTGGACCTTATTTTTGGGAGCAGGTGACTGCACCTTGCATCTCTGGAGAATTTAATCTTCTTAGGTTACCTGTAGTGTTCTGATATTCCTTGGGATGTGTGGATGTTTGGGTTTTTATTTATTCCACTTAGTTGGCATTTGGCCTATGTAGAGTCCTTCTCTTGCTTTAGATCTGGGGAAAAATATTTGCATTTTTCCTTTCTGTAGTTCATATTTTCTGTTCTTTTTGTCTTGAACTCTTCAAACTAAGCACTAGACAACACTGATCTGCCATAAACTTAATATTTTCATGTATTTTTCAGTTTGTGGCCTTTTTTTTTTAATTTGGAGAGAGGCTTTCTCTGTAGCTCTGGCTGTCCTGAAACTCACTATGTAGAGCAGGCTGGCCTCAAACTCACAGAGATCCCCCTCTGCTTTCCTAGTGCTTACTTCTTTTCCCTAAAGTAGCCACTCATGTCTCTGTCACCATGGCTCTGTAATTTGTGTTGTAGTTACTTGCTTCTCTCCCTGTCTGCTTCTCTTAGCATCCTGACTCTGAGGTGCAGCAGGCTGGCCACCCCAGGAGCCTCTTCTGTTAAATGGTCCTGCTGCATTCCCTGGCCATTTATCCAGTCACGTGGTGAGCTTGTGGACTGTTTCCTGTTTGGGACAATCTCAAAAGCAGCAGTTCTCAACACTGGCGCACACGTCTCTGCATGGGCACATGCTTTTTCTTGGCTGAATGTCTAGACAAAGATTGACAAGATTATATGGCAGGAGGAGTGTTTAACTTTTGCTGAAACTGCCAAACTGTTTCCCAGAATGTTGGCGCCACTTCCATCCCTTCTAAGGACTGATTTGTTTCAATGTCATCTTTTACATTTCAAGAATCTTCCTTATTCTTGGCTCGCTCTTTTCTTCCAACGAGCCCCTCCATGCACGCTTCACCTTGCCACAGGCTGTCCATGAGCGCCGCACTCACATTCACCAACACCACACGCACGCACATGTGCGTGTGTGAAGATGCAGTAGGCAGACCCCGGTAAGACCCCGGTAAGACCCCGGTAAGACCCCGGTAAAAGCGGCAGGCGCTGTAGTTGGTACATTTATTGCTTTATCGCCTTTTCTATTAAAGGCTAAACCGAACCATGTAGGCCCACACAGACACAAAAACAATGTTCAAGCACATTAAGCATCGAATTTAGTGGCTTCTGAAACATCATGTAAGTGGGTATACACATGGTGTGTGTGTGTGTGCTCTACTCACACATATGCCTTATGTATGCATGAGTGTGTGGAGGGACACATACAAGCCTGTGTGTGGTGCTCACAGAATGACCTGGAGCGTTGGTCCCCAGCCTCCGCCTTGTGTGAGTCAGTGTCTCTCTTGCTGTTTGCTGGGATTACAGACACATGGCACAGCACCTGGCTTTTACACAGATCCCGGGGTCCAAACTCAGGTTCTGAGGTTTGAATGGCAAATGCTGAATCTCTCCAGCCCTCAATATATTTTTTTAAATAAATGAATAAAGTATAAAAGCCTAGTATATCATGAAGCCTTCATGTTAGTATTTAGTAAGCTTTAATACCTCACAGCAACCCAATAAAATAGCTGTTGAAATTGTAGTAAAGAAAAAAATAAAAGATGGAAAAATAACTTCTAACATAGTAATGCTTCTCAGTGTCTTCCCAGTAATTTTTCCTAATATAGGATTTCTCTTTGGTTAAATATTTAGCTTTTGCTGTAGAGTAAAGCATAACATAACACTGTATTGTTTTTAATTTTTTAAAATTCTTTTCATACAATATTATTTTGATCGTATCCATTTCCCTATTGAAGCTCTTCCCCACTTCATGTTCTTGCTCTGCATCTCTGAAAAAAGAAAATCAAAACAAAGGAAAAACAGTAAGACAAAAATAGCAAACCAAGGTAAAAGAGGGTAGCACAAACAAAATGAAGCGAAACAACAGCAAACAAACCATGGAGCCTGTTTTGTGTCAGCCAGCTGCTGCAGTCCTGGGTCCTCCTGGAGCATGGTGGGCAGATCCGCACTCTGCTCTCCTACCATGGAAGGCAGCGCTGTCACTTCAGGGGAAGACAACCTGTTACAGGCTTCCGGAGTGTCTCCCGAGGGCTCCGAGACCTGGGTTACAGTAATCACAGAACAGCAGTTTACACAGCTTTCTGGTTTGGATGTAGCAATCTCCCTTTGGGAGCAGGATTTGAATATTTGGTACCCAGACAGGGGTAGTTTTTCAGGGTGTTCTGGGAACTTGAGAGAGAGGAACTTAGCTGAGAAAGTAGATTATGAGGAGAGGATCCTTGAAGGTGTATACTGTATACTGCAGGCCTCTCTCTTTCTTCCCTTCTCTCCCTCTTTTCTTCTCTCTCCTCCCTTCCTCTCTCTCTTTCACTTTCTCCCTCCCTCTCCTTCCTAATTGGCCAGATAGCTCTTCTCTACCACCCTTCCCTACAGCCATGCTGTCCTGCCCACGTTCATGGGGTCAGCTTTCCATGTCCTGACCTCTTAGTAATTGATAACCCTCTCTTCTTCAAGCTGTCTGTGTCAAGCATTTCTCTCGCAGTGATATAGAAGTGAAAACATAGACATGCAGTTTCAGGGTTATGTGCTAATTGGAAGTGAATCGTGAGACACTTGAGCAAATATATTCTCAATAGCTGTGGTAAGTTCTTACTTTATGAAAATGCTCATTACATTTACAAAATCTTTTGAAAATGGCATTTGGGGGCTGGGGTGGTTCAGTGGGTGGAATGGATTGTGTGGTAAAGATCTGAGTTCAAATCCTCAGAGCCTACCAAACAGGTACAGTAGCACTCGTCTACGATAGAGTGCAGACAGGAGAGTCCCTGGGGTGGGCTAGCCTGACAGACGTAGTGTCAAAAACAAGGGACCCTGTCACAAACAAGGCAGAAGTCAAGCTGAGTACCAGAGGCTGTCCTATAACCACGCCCCCACACCCACGCCCCCACACCCACGCCCCCACACCCACGCCCCCACACCCACAGTACATGTGTGAATACGGGTGCCTGTGGGGTCTGGAAGAAGGCATTAGATCCCCTCAAGCTGGAATCACAGGAAGTTACGCATTGTGGACCACAGGTGCTGGCACCCAGTCTCCCATCTTTCCCCAAGAGCAGTAAATGCTCTAACTGCTGAGCTGTCTCTTCAGCCCCCAACTTTGCACTTTTATATAAAGAATAATGTTCATATTTTTGTGTTAGATACAAGCAATACACTGTTATTGCTTCTTGTGACCTTCATGGAGTGAGGCCCACACATGGTAGTTATGTAAACTAAAGAGAAACGAATGTTTTACAATAACAATTTTGTCTCATCTAGCCCAGAGTATCGATTTATTTTAGGCATGGCATTCAACTTCCTTTCTATAGTATGCACTTGGGGGCTTCTAAAAGTTGCTTCATGCAGCCAGTATGATCGGTGGCCACATTTACTGTGGGTGACACATTTATATCATTTTAAAAGGTTTATGGTACATTTTTTGGCCTTTCAGTGAAAATCATTATATAAATGTCACTTATCATTATCATAGAAACAGTCAACTGTGGGAAAAGCTTTAAATATCCTGCCTGGAACAAGAGAATGTACCTTGTTATGAATAAGAACATTTAGCTGCTGGATCCTCTATTCCACTAAGCATGTGTTTCTCGATCACTTTGTGTTAAATTGGTCTGGAAGTTCTGTTCATGCTTCCGTGCTGACAGGAGAGGCCATGCTGGGTTATCGTTCTCTCAAAACCTGCAGTGTCGAGGCGCGGCTGTGGCTTAGTGCAGAGCACTCGCTTCGCGTGTGCAAAGCTCGGGGGTCTATCACCAGCACTGGAAAACCAAGCCAGACGGCAGACAGACAAACCAACCTGCAGTGTTCTTGTTCTGCGCAGTTGCCCAACAGCAACAACTTCCTTGAGCAATGAGAACATTATAGCCCAGATCACACAGGAATAACATCATGTTTACAGAGGAAAAGCAAGAGCGGTGTAGGTGGTCCTTCTGTCTGCATAAAAGGCGTGGAGGAGAGAGCAGCAGGGATTGCAGGGCAGCAAGCAACTTCCTGAGCTACTTCCTCTCCTGTCTTTGGTAGAACCCGTGTGCTTGCATTGCTATACTTGCCTGGAAGACAGACCACCATTTTAAGCCGAGCGTGATTTCCAACTCTCTAATCCCATCGTTCAGGAGGCTGAGGCAGTAGGATTGAGCATTCAAGACCAGCCTGGGTTGCATAGCGAGTTCCAGGCTGAGTTTAGCTGAACAGCAAGGCCCTGCCTCAAAACAAAGCAAACAAACAGAAACCAATGGGGAAACTACCATTTTATCTAAGTTAATAAAATAAGACGTTCCGTGCGGGGTTTTGGTTATTATTACTGTGCTGCTTATAGAACAGTGACCACGAGAAGAAAACACTTTCTAGAGGCAACGGAATAATTGTCCTAATTTATTTTTCTCTTCTCTCCATCCCAATCTTTGCCTCCATGCAGCTTTCATTCCTTGGGCACTAGATCGTCAGGGAGCCTTGTCACATGTGGGAAATTGCTGTTGCTCTCTTCCTACTCAGCGCCCCTCAACTAAGCTTTGGTAGCCTGTCTGAAGTACTGGCATGCTTTGTATGCCGCTTGTCGTCTGTGCTGGAGAATAGAGCAGACACGAACACTGATGACTCGTCTCAGCTTGGTGGGTCAGGAATCAATGAAGAGACACACTTCTGGATGTGTTTGTGAGAGTGTTTCCAAAAAAAAAAAAAAAAAAAAAAGAGCAAGTCAGTAGGGCAGACCTTCTCTCAGAAGATCATCCCCTCCCAGAGGTGGCCCAGATACGAGGAGACCTGAGGAAAAAGCTTGCCCATCCTGTGAGTGAGTACATCTGTCTCTATGCTGCCATCATCAGCTCCAGTGTCTTTGGCCTTTCAGTGTGGACTAAACAGCAGTGCTACAGGAGCTCTGCAGGCCTTTGGCACCAGGTCAGGACTGCTGAGACATCCCAGCTTCTCAGCTTCCACAGTGCACAGACATCTCTCTACTGTCTATCCGTCTATCTAGAAGTAGATTTATGCATACACATTCTATCTGATCTGTTCTTCTAGAGAACCTTGACTAATATACTATTTCTATGTGGCTTTTTCATTTAAATTAAATAAAATGAAAAAAAATTTCATTTGTTCCAGCTGTTTTGCAAATATTCATTCATATATGGCTCTTGGCTACTGCGTGGTTATAAGCACTGAATATTTTCGTGGTCATAGGTAATCTTTTGGCCATCTCTGCTCTATGGGAACCTTTATGAAGTGTGTTGAGAGGAAAGTTCTTAGAGGAGTTTCAAGGTCGTGTTGGGATGGATGTCTAGAAGAGTACCTGGCTAGTTACCATTTAAGTCTTTTCTGTCCAGCAGCTTCTTTCTTACAGAGTTCAACAGCGTGGGTCACATGGGGGAACTCAGTCTGTGGGTTCTAGTTGGAAAAATTAGGTAGCTGCAAACAGGTCCTTAGTGGTATTTTGTTCCTGGCTCTTTTCTGTGTGTGTCTCTGCTTCTTGTGTGTCACAGTGGAAAATCTCGTCACCTTCAAGTTCGGAGACCAAGCAACTGTGGGAGGAAACCTCTGACTTTTTTTCAATCAGATATTTTGATCACAGTGTTTTTAAAAAAGTGCCCAAATGCGGCTATAACATCTTCTGCTCTCCCCCTCCCATGACTGTGGAGCCACTGCTCTGAAATATCAAACGATTTAAGATTTGGTCTCCTGACTTCTCTGGAACAGGGCAGCCTGCTTAAGTTGCAGTAATGACGCCCCCCTTTGGAAAACTATATAGCCTTGAGGCCCAGGATGTTGGCTAAGTTAGCCATGGTGACGCTTTCAAGCTCGCAAGGCTTTTTCAGCCACAGAGAGGTGGTAAGTGTGTATGATGCAGGAACATAGAGCCAACGTGCAGACAGAAGTCCAGACTCCGGGCAGGAGGCTCCAACGACAGCATGTGGGCTTCCAAGCCTGGTCAGCCAGGGACTCTGCTTTATTTCAGTACTTAAGGATTTTAAGGTAACTGTCCATTTTCCTTAAGCTCAAAGTACAGTTATTCTCATTCACAACCAAAACAATAGAAAATAATGCAGAATAAATTAATACACAGCGTTCTGTTAAAGTATATGGCTTCAGAGTGGCAAATAAAATTCAAGTTTGTAACATAAATGTGATCAGAATAACTCAGATATACTGATAAAGCTCTGATAATTATTTACATTTATAAGAATTATTTTTTAAATTAATATAAAGTGGTAAATTATTTTGTAAAGATGAATTTGTTGCCTTTTAACTTTACGAGACTTGGGAAAAAGACAATGTTATTAGAATAAATAACTGAGATTATAACTGTTTTCATGGTATTATAATCCAAGAAATAAAGGAGTTAATAGCTCTCACTTGTTTTTTTCACTAGGTATTTACACATATATTCTCAGGTAGCTACTACTGTTAAAAAGCTTAGTTTAAAAATGTCTCCCCTGGGGCTGGCGAGGTGGCTTAGCACAATAGTTCTCAGCCTGTGGGTCACAACCCCTTTGGTGGTGGCAGAGGGGCCAAAAGACCCTGTCACGGGTTTCCTAAGACCATTGAAAACACAGATATTTACATTACGATTCATAACAGTAGCAAATTTATACTTAGGAAGTAGCAATGAAAGTAATTTTATGCATTGGGAGGTCAGCATGTGAGGAACTGTATTAAAGTGTCGCAGCATTACACAGGTTGACACGCACTGGCTTAGCAGTTAAAGCACTTGCTGCTCTTCCAGAGAGGCTCAGAGTTTGGTTCTCAGCACCCTTGTTAGGTGACTCACAACTGTCTGAAATGCCAGCTCCAGGGGATCATGGTAGCTCTGGCCTCTGAAGTCACCTGCACTCACGTGCACACAGGAACACACAAATCTATGCATAATTAAACAGAAAATAAACTAACACAAATCTTTAAAACAGCTCCGAGAGCACTGACTGTGTAGCTGACATGAATCACATCTTTTCAAGTGTTCTGTGTATCACCACAGGGTGTCTTTACCTCTCTATGTGTAATTTACAGGGTTTTGACTTCTATCGAATAATTTATATAAGTGAAGATTCCAGTTTAAATGTGGGTTATTTCTTAAAAGTTGGCTGTGAACTTTAAAATTTGGAATGTTTTCCCACGGAGGTTATATCGCTGCAAGCCGCGGTTGCTTCATTTAGCACATGGAACTTCCTTTAACGTTGGTCAGACCACTTCTCACTTCTGTTTGACTTGGCCTTCCCATATGTTTCAGCTTTAATGTTCACTTTTCCCACTGATATTTCAACCAAGTCACTGCATGATGAGAGTTTATGGTGCTACAGGAAATTTAAACTGTTATCTTAAATATTTTTATGGAAAAGATAATTTGAAAATTGCAATACCCAAACATACTTCTATTTCAGAATCATAAGAAAACAAATTACTTTGGCCTTTTTAATGTTTCTTTCTGATCTTAATTTTTAACTATTTCCTCAACACATGTTGAGAAATTCAGATAACTGGTTGAGTGACATGTTTGAAACTATTTTTACAAATAATTCATTATAAAAAGTGAAGACTTGAAAATAAAGAAGCTCATGAGCAGCTGTAACATATCCAAGTGTAGTCTAATATTTTGGAGGTCCACAGTTAACATTAAATACAGCTGCTATCTTTAGGCAAGGTCTATGATAAAAATGTAAAACTTATAATTAAAAACTCGATACTTCTTGACACTAGAACCATTGAGCCAGTCACAAAGCTGCTGTTGTTTTTTTAAAGTATATAAAGAAGCTAAGGTAAGCAACTAATTCTGAGTGTCTGTGTCTTAGTCCACTTTCTGTGTTATAGCCAAACACTTGAGAATGGCTAATTCATAAGGAAAATGGTTTAATTTGGCTCATGGATTCTGAGGGTTGGGGATTTAAGCTTCAGAAGTCACATCTGGTGAGGACCATATGTCGTGTCACACGGTGGGACACTGTGTGAGAGTAGTCAGCTGGTGCCTTGGAGAAGGGGACAAAGGGGTCAACTCAGCCTCAGGATAACTATGGTAACCACCCTGGGTTGAAGGAGGTATGCTGATCTCTTTATGAAGGCTCTGGTTAAACACCGTTTAAAGGTCCCCAACCTCACAATACCATTATGTTGGCAACTGAATTTCCAACTGAGTTTGTTGGGGACAAAACACATCCAAGCAATTGCAGCTCTTAAAGCAAACTCAAAAGCTGTATGAAATGTTGGGTGGAAGTTGACATAATACACATGGTATTTTCTCATATCCGTCTCAGAAGTTTTGCAACTAGTATTTTAACCTAGGGGAAAATGTTACTAGTATTATGTGGCTGTGGCCAGCTTTCTAGGCTTGAAGTTCAAGTTCAACACACACACACACACACACACACACACACACACGCACTTACTTTCTGAGGAAACTATTGTGAAATAACCTGGTTTATGTAGATTTATATAACATGGTCATGTATACCAATACCTGTGTAATTGGTGATAAAGTGACTACTGAGATTTTTGGCTCTTAATATAAAATTCCTGAAAAGGCTAAACCCTTGGAGTCATCTAGAAACCACAAACTAAGAGCTGTGGTTTCAAATTTAATGTCCGGAAGTTCAAGCCTGCTTTAAGTACAGTTTCCTCGAGTAAATGTCATTAATTATAGCTATTTTATCTGGATCCCAAGCAGACTGATGGTTCACCTCTGAGATCCGAGAGAGAGAGAGAGAGAGAGAGAGAGAGAGGGAGCGTGCAAGCGTTTTTAGAGTAGGCTATAGGTATTTTAGCAGAACAGTTGTTTAGTTTGCTCCTTCAATAGCATGTCTGTAGACAGATGTTTTGGTGTGTGTTTCTGTGCATGTATGTTGAGATGCACGCATATGTCTGTGCAAGATAGGTCGTTGAGTGTTTTCCTCAACCACTTTCCATAAAATCCTGGTGCCATGGAGGCTGGAGAGGGTGTCAGATCCCCCTGGAACTGGAGTTGCAGACTTTGTGGGCTCCCACGTAGTTGCTGGGAGCTGAACCCAGTCCTCTGTAGAACAGCCGGTGCTCGCTACCACTGGGGCAGCCTTTCCTTTCCTCCAGCTTCTTTTTTGAGACAGGCTTTCACACCAGACTTGGGGCTCACCAATCAGTCTGCTTGCCGACACACTCTAAGGATCTGCCTCTCTCTGTTCTGCAGAGCCAGGGTAACAGGCATGTGACTAGTATTTCAGATAGGTGCTGGGGATCGAACTCAAGTTCTCATGCTTGCACAACTAATACTTTACCAACTGATCCATCCCCCCCTAACCCTTGCAGCCCGCTCTAGATAAATAGGTGTTCATTGAACTAGTCAAAGTATGAAAGAACAGCGCCAGGGAAATGTGTCAGGGGGTAAAGGTGATTGTTGCCAAGCCTGCCTGACAACTGGAGTCTGAGCTCCGGAGCCCCATATGATGTTGAGAACAAACTTCTGCCAATCATCCTCTGACCTCACATGCATGTCCTGCCCAGATAAGCAAATATAAAAAAGAAATGTCAAAGGACGAATGTCTATTGAGCATAACTTGTCTGAGGAGAGGTTATGTAAAAGCAATGAGAGGCAGTTTCTGCTCCAGATTACAGTCCAACATCACTTACATAATAAGTGGAAATATTTTCTTCTTTGTATCTGTCCTCAATATAGCCACCTGTTCTAGGAGTGCGCATCTTCTCCACAAGGGAGACTCACTGAGTCACATTGTTTCCTGTGACTTCAATCAAGAGGGAGGTCAGGCAAATAGTGGAGGGGCTGAGTAGGGAGCTAGCTGTCAGTTGTGCAGGGCTGGCCTTTGGCTCTTCACACGCTCATGGGATGGTGGGTATGTCACGAGCTTTTCGGGCGCTTTGTCAAGAGGCCTGTCCAACACCTGCGACTGTGTGCTTCAAATGTGTGCTTGTAATATACAGACAAACGCAAACGTGTACTTCCAAGGGGGCGCCGGGCTGAAGACAGGGAGGGAGGGAGGGAGGGAGGGAGGGAGGGAAGGAGGGAGACCGTCCCGACGATCCCTCTTTTTAGTTTGGTGTACCAAGAAGCTGAGGTAGCTGAACTGGGTGGCTGA